AAAAAAAAAAAAAAAGATAAGAAAGTGTAGTGTGGAAAGTACGTAAGCCAGGAACATAATCCGGTGTTATCATCAGGTGTTCCGCACTGTACGTAATTACATGCGCTGTGCCTTTTATACAGTCGACATCAGAGTAGGCTTGTTCGCAACAGCAGCATCACAGACATGCAGGTACTGCAATGCCCTGTGCTGCAATAATATAATGTAATGTAACGGACGTAGTGTCGCTCGGGGCCGCAGCTTTCAGCTTTGTTTCAGCTCTGTTAGTGACTGCAATGTCGCTATGGGCACACAGCTGCAGCTCACCCCCTTTACAAAACGCATGTGGATCCCACTTGCCTTCTGGATGAGGCTAAAGCGTCTTAGCCCACTAGCAAGCCCTTCCCAAAGGCCCCTGGGTTTCCACCTTCACCTCTCTCTGCACTGCCCCTTGGCTTCCGTGCTGTGCTGCAGTGGCGCGTACTTCTCTCTGCTGCGTCTTGCTACTCCACTCGGTTGCCATTCGCCTGGCTGACTTCGCTTCACCGTCCTGCAGCAGCTTAGGTAGGACTTCCTCTGGAAGGATTTCTCCAAACCTTCAGCAGATTCCATCGCCTGCTGTGGGCTCTGCTAACCTGCTGGGGCCTCTGTCATGGTGCGTGCCGGCTGTATCTGTCTTCTTTGCGAGGTTGCCAGCTCAGCAAGGGTTGGAACTGTTTCCGGTGGGCTCTAAACAAATATCTGTCCTGTGAGGCAGGAACGGGCCCTTGTACACATGTAACATGCTGGGCTCTGGGAGATTTACACCATGGGTATGGGGATTGTGCCCGGTGCGCTGGACAGATTATTTTTGTAGTGTTTCTGGGGATACCACTTGTGTTAGTTACTTTTCTCTCATTGCTGAGACAAAATACCTGGCAGAAAAGTTAGAGGGGAAGGGGCTTATTTGGTTTACAGTTCATGCAGGTTTCAGTCCATAACTGGCTGGCTTCAAGACAGGGATGGCAACAGGCATCACAGAGGAGAGACAGCATGATGTAAATAAGGTAGCAAAGGCAACAAGAGAGACCTTCGCTCGGTCTTTCTGCTCTTTTATCCCATCCAGACTACCGGGATCAGGGTGGTGTTAAACCACTCTCTTACATGTAGTGCTTTAATAATCACACGCCCTGAACCCCAGCATTGCACATTCCAGGTTCAGCTGCTTCTGACTGCGTGAGGCTTTGGGGGGACATCCAGACCCAAACCACAACAGTACTCTTCCTCCACACTGTGTGACCCTGCACAAAGGAGACCCAAGTCTCTGGTAACCTTCTCCCTGTGTTCCATCTTTCCTTAGCCTGAGAACTCTAAAATGAGTCTGTGTCTCCTTTGAAGCCTTCTGGGGCATTCTCTTTCTTGCGTCTCCCCATTTTCCCGCTATGGAATGTTCCTGCCTATTTCTGGTAGATGTTACTACTCTCTGTGTTTACACTTGGGGCTCAGGAGAGAGTATCTCATAGCCTGACCAGGGGAGATCCCAGGGACCTATTTAGGCCCTTCATCCCAAGTATCATAGTCTGATGACTAGGATGCTGTATTTGTCATATTAACATTATGTGTGTGTGTGCATATTTATACACACATATATGTATAATTGCTGGGCTTAGAAATCAAATTTTAAGAAAAAAATGTTGTGCCCCAGCTTCATAACACAAACATGTGTATTCTCTTGGCATACTTATTGTGAAATCAGGAATAAGTACTAACAGGATGGGCTTCTTAATCAGCACAAAAAATAGTTTCAGAGAGCTCTGAGCTTTACCAGAAGGTCAAAACATGATTCCTGTTATACTTTGTGCTTGCTCTTTAATCCTTTATAAATCAGCACCTTTTGAGGGCTAGGGCTATAACTCAGTGGTAAAATACTTGCCTAGAGTTGTGAGGCCCTTGCTTCAATGCCCAGCAGTACAAAAAAGAAGAAAAAAAAAGAATAAAAAGAAATCAACATCTGTCGAATTAGTACTGTTTCTAAGGATTTTCCAATCCTTTTGGAGAAAGAAGGTAGGTTATTTTATTAAGGATTAGTTCTGCTAATTAATTAAAGTATTATTTCCTCTGTCATGTGAGTACAGGGTATGATCTTCAGGACGCCCCCAAGGAAACTGTAAGATGTTAGGCCAGTCACCCAGTACGTGACGACTGAGGGCCTACTGAGTGCCATGCTAGGCTTTGCAGTTTGATCTCCTTAAACAAGAGTATACTGTGCCTTCATTCTTATCTGTCAGTTACATTATCCTGACACTTTTTTCAGATCAGAGGAATGAAGAGCTGCCTACCTTGTTGCATTTTGCTGCGAAGTATGGGCTGAAGAACCTTACTGCTTTGCTGCTCACCTGCCCAGGGGCCCTCCAGGCATACAGTGTGGCCAACAAGCATGGCCACTATCCCAACACCATTGCCGAGAAACATGGCTTCAGGGATCTGCGGCAGTTCATCGACGAGTATGTGGTAAGGTCAAGGCGAGAGACTCCGTGACCGGAAATGTACTATGTGGTTGTAGGGCTGTCTTTTCACCAGAGATATGCTAGACTTCATCTCTGGCATGACCTCGTGTCTCTCTTCTGGCAGTGGGCAGAGCGTGTGGGCTTAAGAGGTGAACTTAAGTTGTATGGACTGGGGTCCAAATTCTTCAACACCATGTGACTGCAGGCAAGTCCAGTATTCTATCTCAGTTTCTTAAGATGCAGGAGGAAGACCATAATAGTTCTGTTCATAGAATTGTTTTCAGGATAAAGGGAAATAATGTGTGCAAAGCACTAGGATCCACCCTAAAAGAATTGCCAGAGCTGGGCATGGGGGCGTACACGTGTAATCCCAGCACTCGGGAGGCTGAGGCAGGAGGATCACTGGGAGTTTGAGACCAGCCTGGCTACACAGTGAGTTCTGGGGCAGTCTGAACTAGATAGTGAGACCCTGTCTTAAAAAAAAAATTGCAAGAAATATTTATAAAGTGAATCTGCTGAAGATTGATGTTGATCTCTCTTCTTTCCTCACCTCCCACCCATCTTTGGTTTAGCCACCTTGCCCACCTTTGGGCCCAGGTGAATGGTGTCAGGACTGGCTCTTTCTTTATCAGGTCTTCAGTAGGTTCCTTTACCCAAGAAGGCATCAGACAGGCCAACCATGGGAATTCAACTCCTAGTAATAGCTTCTTTCTTACCTTCTGCCTGGGTACAAATTTAAGATAGGTAGATACACGCAGATAGTATGCTCTTCTGGTTTTTGGGTCATACCTCTTCATTGATCATTGTCTTCTGGGTCTTTCTCTGAGTCTGATGTCAAGCCATGACTACCTTTTGTGCATGTGTGTGCATGTGTGTGTGTGCGCGTGTGCACGTGTGTGTGCACTTATGAGCTGGAGACTGAATCCAGGGCCTTGCACATGCTAACATTCTACCACTGAGCTATATCCCCAGCTGCTTTTGAGACACAGTCTCACTAAATTTCCCAAAGTGCCTTCAGACTTGCAATCCTCTGGTCTCAGCCTCCCAAGTAGCTGGGATCACAGGTAGGCACCACCAAGCCTGGAAATGCCCACATTTTATTTCATTGCTTCCTTTGGAGGCAGCTGCTCTTCCTGACTCCAGTCCTTTATCATTTTCTTTCTTCTTCTTCTTCACAGACTCACAGAGAGCATGTGAGAATAGCTTAGCCTGGTATGTGGAGCTGTGACCCCTAAAGGAACAGGTGGACATCATCCAGTCTGACTGTTTACCTCCCGACAGAAATAAGCCTGACACCTCCCCAGAAATTTAACTCTTTACTCTGTAATTGGAAAATCTGTAAAGCAGTGACTCAGCAAGGCTTATACAGGGGGTTTCTCAATGTTTGGGGGTATATAAATATTTCAGACGAATAGAATAGTGGAAATCCTTCTTTTGGGCCTTATTGACATAAATGGTTCTAAAAAGTGCTCACAGTCTGGGAGTATTGAATTGATATAACTTTGAAATCACAAATGTATGCACGATGTGACATTTCATTTTCATGTCAGTGGTTTTTATTGCGGACATAGTTGTGTATGCTATAACTAATATGTATTTAATTTATTGGCCCGGCAAATGCATTATCTCATTTAATCCTTACCATGATCTTGACAGTATTTTGGTCCCCATTTTGTAAATGAGGAAAAGGACTTAGAAAGGCCGGATGATCATGCCTAGATCTAGTACTAGTAAAGGTGGAGACTTGAACCTACTTCAGTGCTAACGCAGGGGCCTGTTACCCTGCTGTGTATAACAGGGGAGCTTACAGATGCACTTTTGGTGTGCACTGAAGCTAATCTTGTTCATGTTTCTCGTATGATATTTAGCTCTAACTATAGTCACCTTCCACCGATACATCTTGAGCCTTCCTACTGAAAAGTTGCCCCTGGGTGTTACTTACAGCCTCCTATTTTCTTATCTATGACATTGAAACCACGTGGCAGAGCTGGAACCTGTAGCACACCTCATAGCTGTCACCAGTCCCCTTGGTCCTCACCAGGAAACCGACACAGAGTATCAGTCAAAGATCAGCTCTCTTGGGTAGTGATTATGAAAATGATGATTTTCGTGGGTTGAAGTTGAAATAAGGATTGTGACATATCAGAGTTTCTTGCCAGGATTTGGAGAAGTCAGCTCTCTAGCTTCACAACCATTGGAGGCAGAATGACAGCAGGGCAGCCATTATGATGCCAGTGCCCTTCATCTAAGACCAGCTCTCTTCTTGAGCATCTGGAGCATGAAATTAGGGAGGAAACCTTGGGAACTGTCAGCACTTTGGAGAAGCTTCCAGAAGGGATGGGGACTCTGTGCATGTGCAGGAACACCTTGGTGGCAGCCCTGTTGAGTCCACTTGCATTTCTGTGTGGCTATTCAGCAAAGGCCACATCCTCTTTTGTCATTTATTTCCTTTTGAGGAGCTACTAGGATGTAGTAGAAAGGTCAAATCTGGGATTGCAAGCCTGACAGTAAAGAAGTAGTTTTTTGAGCTTTGTTTTTCTCATTTGTGAACTAGGAAATGGTAGTTCCTCAAGCAGAGTGGAAAGGATAATATGAGACACTGTGCAGTCATATACATAGCACTGGAACTGGCCCATAGTATGTGTTTAAGAGAAAGTAGCTTTTAATTTGTATCCTCTGGTCATTCAACGTTTAACCAGATCTCTTAAGTGCGTACATAACCCTGTGATTAGCACAGAGGGAAAATGCAAAGATTAAAACAGAAAACGTAAACCAAGGAAAGAAAAGAAGGCATGAATCTGGCTCTGAGGAGCCTGCAGCCAGGCAGGGACTATAGATACACCAAGCACCGACAGACCTAACTGGCGTGAGTGCTTGCTGTACTGGCTGTGAGTCCAGTCCGGCAGGACCCTGCCCAGACCGTCAGGTGTCTCGACATGCGCACGGGTCCCATCTTCTCTTGCAGGAGACTGTGGACATGTTGAAGAGCCACATTAAGGAGGAGCTGATGCACGGAGAGGAGGCTGATGCTGTGTACGAGTCCATGGCCCACCTGTCCACAGACCTGCTCATGAAATGCTCCCTCAATCCCGGCTGTGACGAGGAGCTCTACGAGTCCATGGCGGCCCTTGCCCCAGCGGCCACTGAGGACCTCTGTAAGTAGCCTGGAGTTCTGCTTCCACGTCTCTGCCGAGAAGTGGCTGTCTTCATTCTGGTCTGTGGGGGGAGTCCCTGTTTACCCCACCCCACCCCAGAGAGAAGATCCTGTGTTACGTGGCGTTAGGTCTGCAGTCATGTGCTGTCTGTGGCGAGCAGATCTCTTCCAGACTTCCGATGCTGTGACTGCTGTGAAGAATTCATCATTCATGAAGGCATTGCCTTGTGATCTGAGAAGCTCACTCAGCAGCTCTCAGCCCTGCCAGTACCAATGGGTCCATCCCTTGCTCCCTCCCTCCCTTCCCTCCTTGCTTCCTTCCTTCCTCCTTTCCTCCTTTCCCCCTCCTCCTGTGGTGCTAAGGCTTAAGCCCAGGAACACTGAGCTGTATTCTCAGCCATTTTTTAATGTTAGTTTTTTAAATTTTGAGACAGTGCCTTGCTGAGTTGCTAGGCTAGCCTTGAACTTGAGATCCTCCTGCCTCAGCCTCCTGAGTATGTGGTATTATAGATGTGCTTAGCTTCTCAGACCCTTTTATAACAAATATTTAAAATCCTATTTAATGCCTTGATATGAGGTTCATATATAATACAACCTACATCCTAGAAATCAGATATACCACCCTAATTGGAATATAAAAGAGAAATGAAAGAAGCTATATGACACAGTCCCAAGAAGACACTTACACTCAGAATCACTGTCGATGTCACGTCCTCAGGTGTTGGACGACACATGTCAATTGTCTTGACTTAAATGCTGTGAGCAGTGCTGGTATCAGTGCCTGGATTTTCCTAAATGGTAGATAACATTTCACAATCTCATAGTAATTGAATTCCTGGAAAATACTGTGTATGCAAAAACAGAATATTTTTATATGTGAAACAGTTTAGGTTTCAAGATCACATAATTATAAGCAGTTACTTTGTGGGAGGGAATAACCCGATTTTATTTGCATTAATGTATAGTAAACTTTTTAAAATAAAATATCATGCTCCAAGATATGATTTTTCCTTTAAATTGCTTAACAAATGTTGCTGTTTTGGTTATCTTGTTTTTTCCAATTTCAAAATTATACATTTTATAAAAACTTGAAGTAAAATAAGAATATAGAACTGCATTGATAAAGTCTGTGTGACAACCAATGTAAAATTAGCAGTAGTTTAGTAGGTATGTTTATCGGCTTTTTCCTTATCTCTGCCTGCATTAAATAACACACACACAAATGTACATATATGTCCTACTACACGTATGTGTGTAAATATGCATCAGAGCAGTTCTTCTCGCCTGTGTGTATCTAGTGGGATACTGAAAGTCCCTTCCTCGCCTAGGGCTGTCCCGCACATCACAGTGTCTCTGCGTCACCCTCGTGGATCTTCACAATACCCCACTTAACTTTGGATTTCACTGTGTGTGCTGATGGAGAAGCAGGAGATTCCCACAGCACACCCTCCCCATCACTCGTTAATGTGTTAGTGCTGTTTGCTCTCAGGTGCTGAGTACTCTGAGACACTGCCCTCCGTCCTTCCAGATCGAATGAGTAGAATCAAGAAACCAGTGTGCTAGCTTCATGCTGGAGGGCTGTCGGGAGGGGCTAGACTGAGTATTGCCACCTTTTCAGGGCCTGAGGGAAGAGATCTAACTTTCATGAACTCATAGAAAAGTGGGCGTCACGGGGCTGCCTTGGAGCAGGAGGCACAGACCGGTGGGGGGCCAGAAGTGGTCCCTGACACCAACAAGCCCTTTGACACACCAACTCTAGCACCTGCAAGGGTATGGGGGGGCAGTGTCTGTGAGGCATTTGTCAGTCAGATGGGCTTCTCCTCTGAGATGAAAGGTGGCCCTTTCTGAGATGACCAGAAGCACTGGTTAAACTTCCCCGAATGAGCTGTGGCCTGGCAGGGATGTAAGGTGGGACGGCATCATCCGTACCAGCCACACCTTTTCTCACTGAATTCTTCAAACAGCCCTGCAAGGATGCTTATATAACCTGCACTTTACAAATGGGAAACCAAGGCACCGAGAGACTAAACAACTTTCCCAAATGTCACAGCCAGGAAATCTGATAAAGTCCAGATTTGGATGAAGGTCTGTCCCTAGGACCATATTTTTTTTTTAATCCCAGGTCAGAAATTTTCATCAAACCCCAAATTTTAGTTCTGCTTTCCTATAGAAAACCCCTCAGGCTCTGTAGTCATGCTTCCCCTTTGTGCAGCTCCAGTTTCCAGAGAACAAAACAACCTCTGGCATCCCCTGCACTTGGGCAGCTATCACCTGCCCTCGCAGCTGACAAGTGTTTCAGGAGCATCTACTGTGTTCCGGGTACTTGCTTGTCCTGGGTGCTAGAGATGCAAGGGGGGAACCAAAGCCAGTCTTTCCCACTGTGAAACAAAAGCATACTTGGAGAGCAACCAAGAGGCCCACTTGGAGACCCACTGGAGAACCCAGAGACTGTACGTCATTTCTGCCTTGTCTCCTAGTTATGCCGCTGTGGAGCAATGAAGGGATTCTCTATTTGTTTTCTCACCTAAATGCTCTAGTACACAAAATTGCTCCACCACAATACTGAATCCCACAGGGAATGCTGAAGGCATCTGTCCTTGTTTTCTGCGTTCTTCACAGAGAAACAGTGAAGCCTACCAGCGTTTCCCAAGGCAGTAAGTAGTGTGCCGTGGGGCTAGGTTGGCAGCCTCTAAAATCCCTAAGGACCAGGGGTTTCTGGTGGTCTTGGAGCTAGGAGAGTATCAAGAGAGAAGCAAGTTTGTAGAATTTGAGGTCAGCAACATATTTCATTCACCAGATGCTGTCATCTCTGGATTTACTTCAGACATGGATTGGTTTGTTTCTGTGTCTGTTACTGTTTGGTTTAGCCTTGAGAATGATCATCTCCCTGATGGCTCAAAGGTGCAGCTTCTCGCACCTGGTGAAGAGCTTAGTTCACAGAGAAATAGGGTAGAGACCAAACTCCTACATCTGAGATGCTTATTTCAGCACTGCCCAGCATAACTCAAACATTTGGCAGCTCCTTGAAGTTGACCGACTCCTTCTTTGTTTTGTCTTGTCTGACCACCCTCGGGCGTATTGAACAGGGTTATCTTCATTTTACAGGGGAGAAAAGAAGGCTCCAAGACTCAGTTGACATTTTTAAATCCCACCTGGGGAGGACCGTATCAGGAATCGAGTTTTCCAGTTCCAGGACAGGCCTACGTCCCCTCGGACTGAGGTTGAGGGCCCCCCTGTTTGGGGTTGGAATGATAGACCTGGCATAGGCACTTTATAGAACCTCTTTCTAAATGTCTAATTAGCCAGGTTTATCAGTGCCCTACCCTTGCTGCCGTTCATCATGGTAACTCCTAGACACTGAAAATAAACCAGTAGGGAAATTAGGCTTGCTTATTACTCATTCGCTTGCTTGCAAGACTTAACATTATAGAGTGCAAGCCTTTAGGCCAGTTCACAACGCAGTACTTGGAAGATCCCTTAACTGGTATTGGAACAAATCTGTCTCTTTCTGACTGGAGTTTAGGGAAGGGATGTAATGAAGTCCTTACTGTAGAGCAGACTCTTGTTGAATAAAGGGGAGCTTTGAGGCAGTGGTGAGGTCTGACCTTGAGATTTTATGATTCTGCTCGAATCTGTTTCCCTTCATCTTGCAGAAGCATGTGAATGCATGCACACAGACACACACACACACACACGCACACGCACACACAACGCACACATACCTACCTCACGCGTATCTTCTCACACTCAGCCTTTAGTATAGATATGCTGCCCCCAGGTGGCAACTGTGTGGTGTTGTCAGACCTTCAACCTTGCTCCCAATTCTCTTGAGAAATTTTTTTTTTTTAAATCAAGATCCCACAGATTTAAGCCACCAGCTTGCACACTTTACTGTGTAAGAAATAAATATCAGCTGCGTATAGTGGTGCACCCCTGTAATCCCAGAATTCTGGCTGTCTGAGGCAGGAGGATCACAACTGCAGCCAAGCCTGTGGACAGTGTAGCAATTTAGCTGTTTCAAATTTTTTTTTCAAGGGCTGGAGATTTAGCTCAGTGGTGCTGCTGGCTGCCTCAAAATTTTTTTCAAAATGTTTTTTAAAGATCTGGGGATAGAACCTGGGATTTAGCTCAGTGGTTCCGCCACCTGCCTCACAAGCACAAAGATCTGGGGATACAGTTCAGTTTGAAGGTTCTGGATTCAATCTCCAGTACTGCAGTCAGTCAATCAATGTCCTTATTAAAGGGCAATCTTAAGCAAACATTGAATCAAGGCAAACTTCTCTTTGGATGCTCTCTCCTGTCTTCTCCTTACTTGGTTCTTTTGTCCTCCTTCTTGCCTTCAGAGGTTAATGTGGTTGTCTTGGTGGTCTTTTGACTTATGTCATTCATTTCACTTTGAAAGCTTTGCCCACTGACTACCCTGACCAGTCACTTCGCTGAGACTCTGGACATGAAGGCCATGGGAGTTAGTGGTGGGAGGCCCCTGTGCAGTCTGTTCCCAAGGGAATCCACTGGCAGGTTGTAGCTTTGCTTGCATATCTCGGAGGCTTGTCTCTCTTCCGTAAGAGAAAAGAATCAAGGGAGAAAGATGCAGTATATTGCTACTAGAAATGGCAGACTCACAGCGTTTCTAGTTAGTTCCAGAGAGCTGTTTTGCCTGTCATCCTCACATGGAGCTTCCTTCACAATTCTGGGACGGCTCAAGCTTGTACCTGGTGCAGAGTTCCCGTGGCCCTCACTAACTTGCTGGCTTTCTTCAGTAATTACCTTGGTAACCGCATCTCCCTGACAGGTCATCTCCAGCAGTTTGTGTTTTCTTCACCTGTGCTCTCTGAGTACAAGGCTGACTCCTACTGTTGGTGGGTTCCCTTTGAGCTAGGGGTGCAGTTGGGCACTGTAAAGGACCTTGCAACATAGCCCCAAGATTTGAGTTGAGCACAAAGATGATTTCTAAGCAGAATCACTAAGTTGATTCTGGAATGTACTGCCTGCCCTGGAGCCTAAACCCATTCCCTTCAGAAGCCTCCTTTCCTGTGGCTGCAGAGGCTCTGTCGTCTTCTGCTGTCCCCTTTGGAAGATGCTGGAGAGGAGAGCCAAGAGTTGCTTGAGGGGTAAGGCCTGAGGTGTTACCAGCTGGGACAGGCAGGATAAGTTACTTTTCTCATTGCTGAGTCCAAATATCTGACACTCAAAGTTAAGGGATGAGAAGTTTATTTAGCTCATAGTTTGTAGAGGTTTCAGCCCATAATCAGCTGGCTCTAAGGCAGGGTGGCATGCAGAGGAGAGGCAGTTCATGGTGAGCAGAAGGTAGCAAAGCAACAAGGGACCTTAACAGTGTCTCCCTGCTCCTTTTATCTTATTCAGACCACTTAGGGTGGGCAGCACTCACACCCTTAATCCTAGTGCCCTTGAGCCTAGCACTGCACCATGAATCTATTCCAGTCACACACTGTAGATCCAGCCACCTCTGAAAAAGCCCCGCCTACGACTGCATGAGGCTTTGGAGAGGACATCTAGACACAGCCGTAACACAAGGCCATGGCAGTGTGCTGCTTGACTCTTTTTTGCTTTTCACTCCTCCAGAACTTTAAGAGTTGTGTTGAGGACATAGGCACTTAACAAAGCACTGGATTGTGTGTGTAGGTAGAAGTATAAGGCATTGGAGAAGTAAAGCAGAGAAGAGTGCCAGAGAGGAAAAGGCAAAGGACCAGACATAGACCGCAAGGCTATGCCTCCGTGACCCAGCTGGACACTCAGAAGTGTGTGTGTCGCTGATTCTCTGGGAGGACCC